ACCTGTCACGCGGTAGATGTACTGGACCAACACAGAAGGGGAGGGGCAGCTCAAGGCCTCGTAGGCGTTATTGAGGAAGCGTCCCCATAACACATATGGAGTGCTGACACGCTTAGGTACAGGCTCATGCCACGCTAGCCAATTGTGCCCGATCTTGCCACCAGCCTTATTGGTGCTGTCTTGACACCAGACCTACATGCATAAGGCAGAACAGAGAGGGAGAGCACGGTAGATGCCACGCAAGTCGAATATAACTGAATACTAATTCACACGTAAATAATTGTCTCTGCAATTTCATCGGGGGCGATGGGGCCCCTCCTGTGAGCACAATAGTTCCAAATTTCCTAGCGCCTCAATATCTCTCTGATTCTTCAGAGTACCCTTAAAGTAGTTCTTAATCATAAAGATTTTTTAGAATGTAGAACATCTTAGTGAAATAAAGTAATCTCCCCTGTTGATGGATAGACGGTAAGCAATAATAATCATTGCCGGGCTGTTGGTTTCTGAGGCAGCTTTGGCTGATAAGAAGGGTGCAGTAAGCGCACCAAGAACGCTTAATAGCGGTTGCATTTTCGTCGATTTCCTGAGCAACCCCTGATTAGATTTTTGTCCTGTAAGCAGGACATATCGGAGCATGCCACTGCTCTTTGAAATTGGGTATTACCGACTTCAACCAACAGAGGTCTAGCGCGTGGCAGGGTGTTAAGCTCAAGAATCAAGTGCACATGGGCCCAAATCTACCGTCTTCCTGCAGTCTGAGAAACTGACGATAACAAAAAAAACAAAAAATGGCCAATAACGATAGCCTCTTTCCTGCCTTGGGAATGCTCCTCTAGATAATTTTTGCCATTTTTAAATTCGAAGCAGCCGTGGTAAAATAATTTTCAATAGAATATACACCGAAAGGTATGATTAGCATTTCTGTTTTAAAAAAAGCTTTTGCGATCGCTAGAACATTCATTTTATTGGCCTGACGTTTCGGCTTCTCGCTTGGGCCCATGATTAAATACGGTTATAGATAAGGTTTTTCCATTTTTTTCTGCTCTCCTTTGCTGTAGGAATTGAAACACCTCTTTTTTCTATTACGAACCAACCTACTAATATGGGACCGCAGACCGAGGGCCGGGACCCCGACACAGTACATCTATGCAACACGGTTTTGAAGTCAGAATGAAAAATGGATCAGTTGACACGTCAAACTGCAAACTAGAGGATCAGCAAAGCACACATTTGCACCTCTGTG